GAAAAAAACACACACACTCAGCCTCAATCTAACTGAACCTACCAAAGGAATTTCCAATTTCTCTCATTCTGTGGCTATGGACCATCCGCCCTCCCTCTCCTAGCTCCCTCCCTCCCCACCTACCTCCTTTATCCCTTCCTGCACATCCTCTCTTTCTCCCTCCGCTATTCTTCCTTCTACATTCCCTCCCATCCTCATCTCCCCTTTACACTCCCCTCTTTCTCTCTACCCCTTTACTCCCCTCCCATACCTCCTCCTTCCCACCCATCTCCCCCTTCCTCCCCACCCATCTCTCCCTTCCTCCCATCCCATACCCCCTTCCTCCCCACATATCTCCCCTTTCCTCCCCATCTATCTCCCCTTTCCTCCCCACCTATCTCCCCTTTCCTCCCCACCCACCTCCCCCGTAACCCTTAATAAAATCGAACGACCCACAAATTCTCATTCAGGAAACACTAAGATAAAAAAAAAATACTTGGGATGATTTCTGGTCTAAGAGTCACAGTCCCAAAACGATCTAAGATGCAACCTCTCTCTCTCTCTCTCTCTCTCACTCTCTTTCTTTCTTTTTCTTCCTTCTTCTTCTTCTTCTCCTCCTCTTCTTCGCTTCTTCATCTTAAACGTGAACGAAGGAACGTTTTTATTCCAGTATAGTCTCTGGTGTAATTCCGACGCCATATTGTCTACCATATTGGTGTTAAGAGGACAAGTTGACCAATTGGAGGTGTTTGTGACAAGTTACCAGGAAGTGTTTGTGACAAGTTACCAAGAAGTGTTTGTGACAAGTTACCAGGAAGTGTTTGTGACAAGTTACCAAGAAGTGTTTGTGACAAGTTAACAGGAAGTGTTTGTGACAAGTTACCAGGAAGTGTTTGTGACAAGTTAACAGGAAGTGTTTGTGACAAGTTACCAGGAAGTGTTTGTGACAAGTTACCAAGAAGTGTCAAGATGCTATTCCCTCCTTCAATTCTTTATCTTTCCTTTGCATTTTTTCCTCTATATTTTCTTTCTTCTTCTTCTTCTCTCTCTCTCTCTCCCATCATCATCATCAATCCTGCTCCATTTTCCTCCATCCTCCATCCATCACGGCTAATGCCACTCTAACACCTTCAAGCAACATCTCAGCAACACTCCAAA